GGGCAGCCTGCAGCCCAACCAATAAATTGCATCTTCATTTTCAGGATAGCTTCGTATGCCATGAAATATTCGGAAATTTTTTTCGTCATTTGGGAAATTTTTGGCCTACCCCCCCCACCCCCCACCCCCAACTGTACATGCTAGCTACGGCCCTGGCTGTCGATTGTAGTATCACAGGCACACTTAACTTCAGCAGCCTAATTGATAACAAGCTAAGTTTTTGCATGACATGAGAATCAACATTGATTGAAGAGGAGGTGGTAGGAAAGGGCAAGCGAAAATGCAAGTGGAAGAAATTTAAAGGCAGGCGTCCCTTATAGGGCCGCTGTAATTGGTGAAAGCTGTAGCGTGTACCTGCCATCTGTTTTTAATAATATATGTCTTGTGTACCATATGTCACATGTAGCATGTTCTTTGGCAAAGGTAAATAAATAACTTGCACATTCTTGAGAGACAGACTTGGAGCATATCTGGCAGGAATACAGAGCTCAAATATAAACTTGGGTCAGATATGCAGTGGCATATTTATGTTTTACTCTTATTAAATAGGTACATTAACAGAAGAACCAAAGGCCAAGAAACCTAGAAGGCCTGTGTCACACAAGAAAAAGCCAAATGCTACAATGACTTCAGCACTACCTACAGCACGATCCCCGGGGATGCCAACCTGTCAAACAGTTCATACAAATACTACCCCAATACTACACAGCTCGATTGAGATGCAGACAAGTAAAGATGTCATTCCTAAGACACTCCAATACCCTACTGTCTCAACAGGGGCTCTTTTTGGTACTTCAGAACATCCTCTTCATCCTCAGAATGTTGGCTCTTTGTTCACTTTTCCATCAACACAGTTGAATGCTTCATCATTCCTGGCATCGCTGTCTTCAACCACCACTATACCGAGCCGAGCACGTACAGGTGAAGTGAGCCACGTCCAGACAGTACATCCTTTGCGGCCGTTTACAACTAAATCAACTGTTGAACATGCACCTTTTGTTCAAAAACCTGCTGTTTTTACTGGTTCTCCAAACCAACCAAATAACGTTGTTTATCTATCGAGTACAGGTACTTTGCATCCAATGCCTAACCCAAATTCAGTCAATTGGCCAGGGGCTACTGGTATTCCTCTGTCCAGGTTACCCCAAGGTAGCGCAGACACGACTTCTCTGGAGAAATCTAAAGGAGGTTTTACAATGAAAGGTAAAGAAAGTTTGCCAAAAATAGTGTACCCTTACCCAACACAGCTACCAAGTGCTAAACCGATGATGTCTACATCTTCTGTGACTTCCAAAGCTCAATTGAAACAACACGATTTGGCACAGCTTGTACAAAACCAACTGACGAAGTCAACAATTGCAGAAGCAACATTACCAGGGCATCCGAATACTAAGATACCCAACACAGATAAACACAATAACACGAGAACGGCAACAAAACCACCAGACCCATTAAATCAACCACTTCAATATTGTGGTATATTATTACAACCAGGTATGGTACCTCAGGTCCAGTTGGCTGGTGCAGGACCACGACCAAGTGTAGGTGCAGGCAACAGTCAAGAACAAAATCCTTATGGTAATCTTTACACATTACAAGGATTACCTTATGGTAGTAATGTTGGAAATCCAGCAGTCTTGGGCATGACATCCAACACTGTAATACCGTACTTCCTAGGTATCGCACAACAAAACACACCCAAACCCATTGTACCAGCAACAATTTCAACGAATACAACAAAGGAGTCTTCGCCAACATGTAGTACCGCTCCAGTGAGTACATCTGCCATTGCTGCAGCATACAGTGCGTTTGTATCTATAGCCCCAGCATCAGTTACTACCTCTAGTTTTTCACAACAGTTAGTCAACTTAGTTAGTAACTATAATAACCCTTATTGGCAACATTTGTTAACTCAAGGTGGGAACTCGAACACATTGGCGTATCAGCTGATGCAGATCGGTCAGTATGCAAATGCACGTCTAGGTTCGTCAGCTCAAACTACGAAATCATCCAGCGCGAAAAGTTCATCTCAAAACCAAACTAAATTGTCAACATCAAGTTCTAGATCTTCCATATCTAGTTCACAAGAAAGCAAACCAAAGCCTGCCACTAAGGATTCAGTTCCTGCTACATCGAGTGTTGTAAGTACGGCCAGTACTCTTACGACATCCTGTTCTATAACTACATCGAGTGTCGTTACTAATACGACTGTAACTACAGTTGGTGAAGCACAGGAGGGGAAAAGATCAGACTGTGTTACAGTAACAAACAAACCGTCTATTTCTAATACGGTTAGTGTTTGCACTAGTAACAATACGATATTTGCGTCATCAAATGATAGTTTGGAAGAGAAGAGTGCGTGCACTATTAGCGAGGCTAGTGCTTCAACAAATGACATTTCAGTAGCGAAACTTGCTTGCACTAGTAGCGATACAGTTCCTTCAACAAATGAAAATTTAGAAGAGAAAATGGATTGCACTAGTATCAGAACAGTTGATTCAATAGTGGACAATTCAGTAGAGAAACAATATTCTACAAGTAGTGAGAGAGTCGCTTCCATTAATAACATTTCGGCGAAGAAAAGTGTTTGCATAGGCAATGAGACGGTTGATTCAACTAAAGATATTTCAACGGAGAAAGTTCCCTCCACCAACAATGAGACACTTGTTTCGCCAAAAAGTAATAAATCTCCACAAAGAACTGCTTCCGCTGGTTACAAGACTGTTGCTTCAATAAAAGACAATTTAACAGAGAAAACTGCCTGCAGTATTAGTAAGACACTTGCTCCAATAAGTAACAATTCACGAGAGAAACATGGCTGTAGTAGTAGCGGGAAAGA